GGTGGGCAGGCCTTTGTCCTGTAGTCCTGCTTCTTGCAAACTATTTCTGGGGAATGACAGCATATGGAAAGAGCTCCTATTTCTGTGAGATTTGTACTTCCAGGCATTCAGCCATAGTTAAGTAGCTCTGAGCTCCAGGGCAGAGCGCTCTTTAACTCTGCTGTCACCTAAAGGAGGGGAGTATGGCTTGAAGCAGAAAACTTAGCAAAAGCTCAAGAGCCAAATGCAGAGAGCAGTATGCCTGAGATGCAGTCCTACTAACTAGATGCTCAGAAGTTTTTGATGTTGAATCTGCCACAGTGTCAATTAGGATGGGGTCTCACTGATGAAGTCTGAGAAGATAGCCATCTAAACTTACCAGGGGCAATCACTGAGAGGAAACCCATTCAGTGAAAATTATACCATGAAACTATATTCTTTCCTCACAAAGGATTCTAAACACAAGTCAGCAGCTAAAATTGCAAGTGAGATGAATCCTTCTAAGACAGCATTTACCAAACAGATGTTCTGGGAGAATGTTAATAGATTCTGTTTTAAAATAAATGTTGGAGGGGTATGCATCCCATGGTCCAATAATTTTTTGGAAATGCTTCTTGACTGAATTTTCCTCTTGGGGAGTCACAATGTATGTAAGTATATTAAAGGCTCTGAGAAGTACTTTTGTAAATAAATCTTTAATGTTGTTTAACCCAGTATATCCAAAACTGCTTTGACTGGGGAACACTTTTCTATATGGAAAGCACTTTAGCATCTTGAAGATATGGTTTTAAGAACTGCTGCTTAAAAGAAAAAAAAAAACTGAAAGAAGATAGTCACATGGAAAAACCTTTTTAAATAATCTAATCCAACATTGCTTATTTCTTTTATTTTTTGCCAAAGGGCATGTGCAATTACCAGAGAGAGAGAGATAGAGAAAGAAAGAAGGAAAGTGAGAAAGCACCTCCCTCATGGGGTATGGCCATGTCACAACACCTTCACCTTCATTCCCCTCTTGGGATTTTGGGCATGCACACACACGTGTCCAGCATATTTTTCGGGCTGCTCTGTCCAGGACTCAAACTGAGCAGTCGGCCATATGGGATCCAGCCACTTAACCACTATGCCACTAACTGACCCCACTTTATTTTTTTAGAGGTTTTTGCCTTAGGGCGTGTGTGCTTGCTGGAGAGAGAGAGAGAGTCAGTGAGAGGGAAGGTGAGAAATCACCCCCCAGGGGGGATGGTCACATCACAGTCCCTTCTCCTCCATTCTCATCCCGGTATCTTAGGCATGCACGCACATGCATCTGGCATGATTTTCAAGCTACCCGGTCCAGGACTCAAACCATGATCAGCCATATGGGAGTCCAGGAACATAACTGCTATGCCATCTGCTGGCCCTGGCCCCACATTTTTTAAACATGAAAAAACTCAAGAGATTAATCAGATTGTTCTCCTTCCCATAACTAATGAATATCTGAGGTTGTCTCCTGGTTCCCAGCCCATTGCACCTGTCTGCTGCATCATTAGCAGATTCCCTACTGTGAAAATAGTCCCAGGAAAATAAAGCCAATTTAAGGAATAATCTTCTAATTTTGAGTGCAACATTTGTATTTAATACATTTCTTTTAAGCATTTTGTTATATCTGAAAACTATCAACTTTCTTTTCAGCATGGGATTTGTTGCATCCTTTTAAACAATTTGTTATGAGATATTTTGTGTATTCAAAAAAGCATACAGCATAAAGTGAAAATCAGGATACTTACCACCCAGCTTACATAAGAAACATTGCTGGTAGAGTCAAAACCTCTTGTCCATCCCCTATAATTAAAACTCTAAGTAACCACTATTTTGAATTTGTTGTTAATTATTCCCAAGCATTTATTTATATTTTTACTATATATGTATGTATTTTTAAATAACATATACTGCTGATTTATATATTTAAAATGTTTATATAAATAATTTTCTTATAGCAATATATGTTCTTCTGCAACTTGTTTTTTCTGTTCAGTATTACATTTTGAAATTGTATCCATATTATAACATATGGTTCTACAATAGTTCAATCATTTTTAAAGAATAATTAGTTGTTTAATTTTATTATTATCATTATTATTTAATTTGCTATAGGACACATGCACTCACTAGAGAGAGAGAGAGACAAAGTGAGAAAGCTAGCCTCCAGGTCTGGAACTTGAATTGTGGATGGCCCTGTGGGAGTCCAGTACCTTAACCACCACACTACCTGCCATTCCCTACTCCACTCATTTTTTCCACTATTGTATATTTGTTTAATGAATATTCCACAATTTATTTACTCATTCTATTGTTTGGGCTATTTCCCGTTTTGAACTATCATGATTAAGGCTACTATGATCATTCTTGTGTAGATATTCATAGGTGGCTATTACTAGGAAGTAGGTACCTGGGATGGAATTGTCCCCTCAGAGAGTATGAGCATACTTACCTTCAGGAAACATTGTCACATCATTTCTCCAAAATGGTTTACTAACTTATACTCCCACTAGCAGCTTACAAAAGTTTTAGACTTATTGCATTAATTGACTCAGAATAAAATTCTCCTCCATGAGGATGCATCTTTGATTTTCTTTTTTCAGTAGAAAATAAATTTTATTTTTCTAAATTACTTGACAGCTAACTTCCCAGGAACACATTTCCTTGTTTCCATTTGTAAAAGAGGGGGTTGGGCTAGATGATCTCAAAGGTCCCTTCCAGCTTGACAATCTGGGTTTCTATGATTTATTCATGAAGTGAGGTACATTTGAAGTCTAACCTTGGCTTTTGGCTACGTTGCAGGACTTATTTTAGGAACACATCACAAAGTTTTGTACCAGTGAAATGTGTGTCTCCCCCTCATTGCCACAGTGTTGGTTAGAAGGGCAGTGTTGTGAGAAGGCGAGCAGCCACACAGTGTCACCTTGTATTGGGGAGGAGAAGCTGTAGCCTGTAGAAAGAGTCTTTCCCACTGCTCTATTTTTTCCCAGACTTCTCCATCTTTAAAGTCTCCCCTAGTTCTTGATTTTTTTTTTCCTCTGAAGAATTATGAATTCTTGTTGTAAGAAACAAAAACAGGGTCAGGTAGTGGCATGGTGATTAAGGTAGCTGGATCCCACATGGCTGTCCATGCGGTTCGAGTCCCAGCCCTAGTGGTTTGGAAAACATGCCATGCACATGTGTGTGCATTCACAAAATCTCAAAAGGCAAAATGGAGGAGAAAGGATTGCCGTGTGCCCATCTCCCTGTGGGGTGGCTTCTCACTTTCTTTCTCTCTGTCTCTCTTTTTCTCTTTTATGTCTCTCACTGGTGAGTGCGCACACCCTCTAGAAAATTTAAAATACACACACACACACACACACACACACACACACACAAAGTAAAAGGAGATTCCTCCTCATATAACT